TATGATTGAATATGATTATGAGTGGATTATAAAAAAGCCACAAATTTGAAATAGCAATGCAAGAATAGATTGAATATAACCTCAACAAATAAACTCATGATTAGTTACCGATAACAAAATAGAGATGACCTATAACACTAAAACTTATGGTTGCTGACCAAGATAACCATATGCAAACATGATTGGTTTAGCACTCCTGATGGTGGTGTTAGATACTCGATTCTACAAAAAAAAATCTACATATTGACATGCTTGGCAGATAAGGCCACGTGTAAATTCCTAAAATCGCGGTTTAAAGAAGAAAATTTATAAAGAGAAATGGAATGGAGGATTACGGTGGCGATGTTTAATAATTTGATCAGGATGTGAAGAAGATGAATCATATCATCATCACCATCGTGACCTAAAATGACAATTATTTCCATTGAGGGAACATTATTTTAAAATCGAATTAGGTCTATGGTAAGAAAAAAGTCAACATTTAGAGAAAGAATATTGTAGAAATTTTACAACATCCATAAAATCTTTTATTATGTGTCTATATTACTTGGAACTTTGTAAACAGAGAATATGAAATTTTAGGATTAAAATTTTGAAATTGAAATGGGTAGATAAACTAAGTATGAGTTTTAATAGGGGAAGGTTGAAGATAACAACACGTGATTGGGGGAATAAAGAAGAGAAATTATTTAACTCATGGAAGAGTATGGTTTGATTATTTATGAAGCATTAATGTTTAATGTGATTAGTTTCTGAAACAGTAATGTAATATGTGTATTGAATGATAAGCATAAGTTGGTTGTACATGATGTTCTAGGAGTGGTACCTCTTAAATTTCAACAAATACTTAAAATGCTTTATATAATAGTAAAGGTATATGGTAAAAGAATACACACACACACACACACACACACACATATATATATATATATATATATATATATATATATATATATATATATATATATGAAAATAAATCGGTATCAAAGAAAGATTAATGATAGAACGATAATCATACTTAAGATTAAACAAAAATGTGTTAGTTAGCTGGTATATTCATCCTATAGCCTAATTAACTTTGGTTGACCCGGAACCTATAATTTTTAATATTGCGAGAGTTAGAAGGATATGTATAGATTTATACGGGGCTAACACCCCCACGTGCGATTATTAGCTACAATCCCGACATGAATTTTTTTTTTAAGTATAAATGTAATATTTTTCGACGTTCAATGAAGCGTCGTGTACGGTATTTATCGATCCCCATCGTTGATTATAAGGGCTCATGGTAATGTTGTTCGGAAAGTCTTAATTTAAACTGTCTAGAGAGACATCTTCAAGTAGTTGTATGATTTGTGAAAAAGGATGTGATAAAAATTATATAAGTTTAAGAAATATATTATGTCTTAAAAGAAAGAAGGATTATCGAGTTGCTCTACAATACATAACTTAAATGACAACATAATTGAATATATGCAACGAAAGTTACAAGTGTTACTATAGTTATACAAAAACATGCTAAAGACAATATATAATTATCATCTTAGTTGCAAAGAACACTCGAAGAGAATCATGAAAAAAAGCCCCAAAAATGTTATATAAATTATCGCTATAATGTTTTTAATAAGTACAAATGCATTTTTTAGTAAAAATTATATAGATGATATCTTTATTTTGAGCTTTTGAATAAATAAATACGAGTTTTCTTCAACTTAATTTTATATATTTAAAAAGAATTCTTTTTGAAAAATACTTAAACTTTAATCTATTAAAGAAAAAAATCATCATTTATTATTTATTTGTAATTTGGCCCTAAAAACCGGTATTAACCGGGTACAAAGGTTATTTTGCAATTGTTTACAAGTTTTTTGGCTTACTTGAAAAAGAAAAGAATGACTTTTACGTTAATAAAGCCAAACATAAATGATTTTTTATAGTTTACTTTATTTTACTAACAACTTAATATTAATTTACCGTTCTAATCATTTTATTAAATTCAAAATATAACACACTGTACATTAAAAAATTTTATATGAAATATAACATATAGTTCTTGTAACATTATGAAAAGCAAAGTTTCCGATAATGTCTCAATATTTTATTTTTGAACAGAAAAGTCTTAATTATTTAATTTTATACGATAATTTGTCATTTTCCGTTTGAAAAAAAAAATTGTTTCGTTAAGTTAACTAAAATATAAAATAATTGATATTTTTCTTTTAAAAAGTAAAATTTTAGTTTAAACCATAAAGTTAACCAAAATATTAAAACTTTATCCGGAATTTCGCTTAAAAAGAAAAATGTAGATAAATGTTACCAATGCATCTAATTTTCCTATATGGATTTTCCATAAAAACCTCTGCATGCATTATTGAGTCGAATCTTTGTCCCAATAAAAATAGGAATTATACCATAAACTAGGCGAATGCCCGCACGTTGCGAAAAAACACATATATATAGTTGAAGTGTTTACAAATATATGATTTTTTGAATATAACAATAACGTTGTTGTTAAATTTGATATAATAATTTGCATATACTAAATTGATATAATTTATTGATTATTTTGAATTATATATATATATATATATATATATATATATATATATATATATATATATATATATATATAATAACTTCATAATCTCAATTGTTTGAATGATTTCTACCCATGAGTTACACATGAATAAAATTAAATATAATATATGATTTGATGTTATTTATAGTTGCTTTTATTGTTAATTAATTTTTTAAAATTTATTTGCTTAATGTTTTAATTTATATCATTATAATTATTTAAAACACCAAACATTGTTTTTTTATTTTAAAGCTAACAATATAATCATTTTTATAGAATTGTTTTTAACTATTGTTATTGTAAGTTATTTTAAGCTACTTATTTGGAAACTTTTAACGATTATAAAAATATATTTAAGAAATGTTTTAGTTAAATTGAAATTACAATTTAGTTTTTGCTTTTATCACTACAATTTATCACTTTTAACTATTTACAAAATATTTTTTAGTTTTTTTAAATGGAACTGAAATTTATATTTGAGTTGATATTGTAATGCACAGAAACACATATATAGTTGAAGTCTTTACATATATATATATATATATATATATATATATATATATATATATATATATATATATATTAAAATATAACACTAACATTGTTGTTAAATTTGATATAATAATTCGTATATTAATTTGATATAATATATTTACTATTTTGAATTATATGATAATATATAAGTCTATTATCACGTCATAATCTTAATCGTTTGAATGACTTCTACTCGCAAGTTACACATCAATAAAATTAAATATTATATATGGTTTAATAATATTTATAGTTGTTATTTTTAACTAATTTTTTAAAAAATATTTGCTTAATGTTTTAATTTCTATCATTATAATTATTTAAAACATCAAACATTATTTTTTGATTTGAAAGTTAACAATATAATCATTCATATAGAGTTATTTTTAACTATTGTTATTATAAGTTATTTTAAATTACTTATTTGAAAATTTTTAACGATTATATAAATATATTTAGGAAATATTTTAATTAAACTGATATTACAATTTAGTTTTTTGCATTTATCACTATAATTTATCACTTTTAATTATTTACAAAATATTATTTGGTTTTTTAGTGGAACTGAAATTTTTATTTAAGTTGACACTGTAATGCTATATTTAAATTAACAATTTAAGTATTTTGTCCAAACTGTTCAAAAATTGTAGCTTTAAACTAATAATGGTTTACATGCAACAACATTTTAAATCTAATAAATTAAGTATAATATATTAAAATTTAAAGACATAACTTTATGAATAAAAGTAAAGATATTATTTTAAAATTGAAATTTAGTCTATTTATGATTACACTTTAGGTTTGATATTTATTTAACCTTATTAACCAACTTACAATCATTATGAAAAAGACACTACAATTTATCACTTTTAATTATTTATAAAATAATCTTTGGGTTGTTTAAGTTAAATAAAATTTATATTTAAGTTGAGCCTATAATGTTATATTTCAATTAATAATTTAAGTATTTTATACAAATTGTTCATAAATTATTCCTTTAAAATGATAAGGATTTACATCCAACAATATATTAAAACTAATAAATTAAGTATAATATGTTAAAATTTTAAAAAACATAATTTTATAAGTAGAATTAAAGATATTATTTTAATATTGAAATTTAGTTTATATATGAATACACTTTAGATTTGATATTTATTTAACTTAACTACCAAATTATAATTATTATTATAAAGAAATTGAAAAGTCATGGGAGTTTCAAATGAGTGTGGTGAAAGGAAAAAAAAAATTGAGGATTTCAAATGCATGAGATTCAAAAAAAAAAATACTAACTTTATAAGTATGTATGAAGATGAAGGGAATCAATAGGTAAATTTACTCCACGAAAATCAGCCAAACTTCCTAATATAATAATATATGATGTAACTATTTTTTTATTTTTTTATTTTATTTTATTTTATTTTTTTAATTCTAATTTGACTAATTGTTAATCATCATAAATATTTATGTAGACATGATGGATAAACCAACAAGGCATGCCACAATTCTTTTTAGACGATAAAACTATTTTTTTAAAAATAATTATTTATTAGCTTTTATATGATTATTCATTTTATTTATATATAAGTTGTTATCTTATATATTCATTACCATCTACTATTTAATCACTAGTTTTATGATTGTCAATTTTGTTGGATTCACTTTTAGGTTGTAAATTTCTTACAAAATAAAAAATAAAACAAATTATCTAATATGTACCGTTTTTCCCCAATATATAAAAACTCTTAAAACCAGTTATAAATATTATCATATTAACTATATATTTTCTAATCATTTCATTATTACCATCATTTTTAATTATATATATTGCGATTTGTCAAATTGGTTAAATTAGTTGCCCGTGCTCCGCCATTTGTCAACATGTTGAAATACGCATGGAAGTTTATCTATTTAAATTTTTCTGTACAAGCAAATTGGAAGGGCAATAAAATAATGGAACCCCAAGTTGAACAAAAATTCAAGATTGATAAAGACAAAGCCCAAAGAAAACCCCGTTGTATATTTATATTCTAGCTATGTCCGAAGATAAAGATTGACTTAACCTACATAAACTTGGACAGATGTCCTGGTATATTCGAGTGTTTCATTCCACCAGAAGGATTGGTACTATCTGCCGCACCTTGCTGACTGTTTTGGACATCCTTATTCGTCTGTTGGCTTTGTTGTTTAGCGTCGTGTTGCGCAGCCTTTTCAACTGCCTTGTTAACATGCGCCTCCATTGAAGCTTCTGCTTCTTTTGCTAGCCTTATCTCATGAGCCACCTCAGCCCTAGATTTTGCCAATTCTTTCTCAGCCTGAAAGAAAACTCAATATGCATTGATGATATTTTCAAACAAATCTTTCAACTACAATTATAATTAATCATCCTAAGATATAGATGAATCCAAAAAAAAACATGTATAAATTAAGAGCATGTAGATGAATCATAATTCATAACGAATCATCCTAAGATATAGATGAATCCAAGGGAAATATTTACAAATATGAAATGTTTGTACGTAATGTAATGCATGCAATGTAATTCATTACATTGGGTTTATACCTTTTCCTCGTTTTTAGCTTCAGACCTGGCTTTACGGGTTGCGTTTAGATCGGTTATTTTATCCTTGATGGTCTGCATATTTGTCTGACTTTTGTATAAACACAATTGAAATAGGTTGACTATGAAAAGTCGTCCATGCGATAAGAAATATGCTTGTGCATTTATACAAGTCATTCCGAGATAATGGAATTCCGTTTTCTACCTAATGGCTAACAATGTTGACAATTGTTAGGAATACACACACGTACCCCAGAAAATATAGGAGTTTTTCTAGGTTAGACTTGGTATTTCTTTGAATATAGAGGCCAAACGGATAACATGCTTACGATAAATTGATCCCATAGTTTACAAAGCCGCCACTAAACAATACTCATTCATTTTTTTCAAAATAAAAAAAGGTCAATACTCATTTAATTTAAAAAAATATGTTTAAATTATCATTCTTAATCAAGCAAAACCCATTCATTTTTTTCAAAATAAAAAAGGTCGATACTCATTAAATTAAAAAAAATGTTTAAGTAATCATTCTCAACCAAGTTTGTTAAGATCGAAATTCTATTTAGGATTGTTTTTGGGTTTGTAAGATCGAAATAGTAAGATTGGGACCGGGAACAGGATCCTAAGATCTGTGATCAATTCTGGATCAAACAAATTCAACCAGATCCACTTAACTTGTATTAGAATTTTATGTGGATTGTGATATTCCCTAACACGCTCAATGTACGATTTACAAGTCATAATACCAAGCATCACACTTACTGGAAATTATAGAACATAAACCATAAATAAGGTTAGTATCATAATAATTCATTAATTCAATTTCATATTGTTTTAGTATAAATAATATTTATAACACAATGTACTGTAATTCATAATCCTTACTCTACATGTCAAATTCATAACAAGTGCTACATATACAAATTTTTGGTGAATCCGTCACAAAATACGACAATATATACAAATTTTTGGTGAATCCGTCACAAAATACGACAATATATACAAATTTTTGGTGAATCCGTCACAAAATACGACAAATTCTCTACTCGGCCTAAAACGTCCAACTTTTAACGAAAAGAATTTAGGGATCAACCTAATTTTCGTGTAACATATTATTATTTTTGATAATAATGATTTTCTCAACAAATTGAATTTTTATAATTCAAATTAAATGTTTATACATCATTTATACCATATTTTCTTTATAAAAACACCACGCTTTTTTATAAAAAATATCATATTTTATAAAAATTACCCCACTTTTATAAATTACCTAGATTTTTATAAAAATAAGAGGAGTTGACTTAGTGACATGATTGTTACATCTTTTCCCAACATAAAACATTAATCAACATGTATCAAGACTATTACCCAACATATGACAATGCAAACATCACCTTACCCCGCTTCTTACCCCCTTACCGTCCCCACCACCCTACCTCCCCCATAAATTTCGTTCACCTAACCCCCCCCCCCCTTGGTCTTCATCTTCATCTCTCACTTCATCTTCTTCATTCCTCCATAATACTCTCAAGAACAAGTTCAAGTCTTCCAAAGATCTATCCCTCTAAGTTGGTTCCTAGGATTTTTGGTAAGCATTCCTTGTTAGTCTAATGTTTTTATACACATTCATACTAGTTTTGTTACATTTACACACATTTATATGTGTTATTATCCATAGGGTAATACTGTAACACTCAAAATCAGAAAGGCCAAGAAAGGAAAGAAAACCCTAAGTTAAAGGGTCAACTCATCGAGTCCAGGGAGGAACTCGACGAGTTGGAGTGGGATCCAGAGGATCGATCAAGTAACCGACTCGGCGAGTCGGCAAAGAGGACTCGGCGAGTCCGATCTGAAGAGGGGAACCCTAAATCCGGGACTTTGTGCACTATTTAAGGATCTTATTCTCTCCCTTAGGGTTCTTTGTAGCATCTCCTATCCAGAATACAAAACCCTAAGCCTCCGTTGTTGTACATTCAAGCTTCTTGTCATTTTGGGTGATTTAAAGGAAGTAGGTAGAAGGGAACCATTGGGGATTCAAGGAGTGGCACTAGATCCAGAGTTTGTGGGATTTTTTAGAGCATTTGAAGGTAATGAGTCGTTACCTTCACTCTTTTGCATATAGATCAACCTTTAACATGATATATGGGGCTTTAAGGGGCAAGTTTAAGAACCATTTCGAGTTAGAAGCCTAGATCTGAAGTTGCTGCTTCAGATGTAAGTGTATTTTGGTCTAGGGAATCATAAAGCATCAGTCTATAGGTTGATTGTAAAGCCTCCTTGTCTTAAACCCTAGTTTATAGTGTTTTGAGCCTAGATCTCTTTAGCTACACGTAAAGTTTGCCACTTTACGTGTGGAATAGGCTTTAGAAGAGTGGATCTGTAGTTTGGAGTCCATGCTTGACTCAAAAACCTCTGAATGTTTGAAGGACTTAATAGACTTAGCAAGTCCTTCGAGTGGACTCGGCGAGTAGTATGAAGATGGAGATGAACTCGACGAGTTGGATGGACAAATCGACGAGTCTGTTGAAGATTACCTTGGACTCGGCGAGTATGTTCTTGGACTCGGCGAGTCAAGTCGCAAAACCCCAAACCCTTCGAGTTAAGACTCGGATCAGTGAGTTAAGTGGGGACTCAGTGAGTTGGACAGGTCAGGACTCGGAAATCGGTAGACTCGGCGAGTCAGAGGCTGACTCGGCGATTCAAGTCGCGCATGAAAGGATTCTGAGCATATGCACTCGACGAGTCAGTAGGCAGACTCGGTGAGTAGGGTTGACTTGGAAGGTTGACTTTGATCAGGACTTTGACTTTGACCAGAGTGGACTTAGTTGGCTTCGGAGGATAGTGTGACTAAGTGCTATATTCATATTGGTAGCTCAGGGAGCTAGTGGAGCAGCAGTTCAAAGAGAGTTGTCAGACAGCGGCCAGAGGGATTACCAGCAAGTTCAACGGTTCCAGGTGAGTTTCCCTTTGTGTGAATGGGTCTAAGGCCATAATGCCGGTCCATGTAGGCATGAGTAGGAGGACCCAGGGGTTAGCCCTAGGCACTGTATGCTAGTATGTTATTTAGGACCAAGGTCCATTGATAGCGGGCGGGTGCCCAAGGAAGGGTTTGTATGATAGAATATACTTGTTGTCTGTGTGATACTTGTATGTGCCTGGTAGGGTGTGGGCGAGGTACCATATCTCACCAATAACAGAGTGTGGATGGTGTTCCACATCTCATTAGCAGCAGAACAAGAGCGAGGCCCAAGTTAGGAAAAGAGTGAGTGTGGGTTGGGCCCGTATTCTCAATATCAGTAGGAGCGTGGACGGGGTTCCATGACTCATTAGTAGCAGGATAAGGGCGAGGCCCAAGATAGACGAGGCCTTAGGATAGGATTAATTAGTATATGTTTATCTTATGTGTTGTGATATGTTTATGTGCTATTATATGTTAGCGAGCGAGGCCCAGTTAGATGCGAGGCCTAAGTGAAACAGATCTATATCCGAGCGGGGCTCGAAGCCAGGCGGGGCCTGGAGCGGCGGGGAGGTTGTAGCGGGCGAGGCCTGAAATAACGGGCGTGGCCCAGTATGTGTTGTATGTGTTTTTATCAGGGTATGTGGTAGGTTGGGGAACTCACTAAGCTTCGTGCTTACGGTTTTCAGTTTTGGTTTCAGGTACTTCCGGTAGCGGAGGGAAGAGCTCGGGGTGATCGCATGGCGCACACCATTGATTTCATCCTGGGATGTTTTACTCTGATAATGAAAATATGTTTTGGAAATGATACTCTGAATTCATGTTATGACTTATGATATGATTTATGAATATGGCTTTGGTAATGATTTAAAGAAAAATTTTGTTACGGATTTTTTTTAGACGTTACAAGTTGGTATCAGAGCCTTGGTTTGAGGGATTCGGACATACTCTCGGTTGTTTCTAAACTCAAAACTAAGGGATTGGTTACAAAGGTTTTCAAAATGAAAAGACAGTTTTGTAAAAAGAGTTTTTAGAAATGAAACAGTTTTAGAAAACAGAAAAGAATTCAGAAAAAAGAATTTTGATAAGAGAAAAAGGTGTGGTGCATACAATCAGCCGAGCTCAAGCAAGTACCCCAAAATACCCATACAAGTTTATGTTATGATTATCAGTTAGTAGAACAGCATGCTAGATTAGGACTAAGGATCTAGGGAGGATGCCTTATGTGCCTGTTATATATGCTTTGAGCTGCATGATAGTGTTGATTAGACAGCAATAGGATAGCCTGTTTAGGTTATGCCTGAGTTTATGAGCTTATGTCGCATGCTAGTACAGATTCTTGATATGAGATTATGATTGTTGAGTATGTTATGGTTAGATTTTCCCTTTTCTGAATGTTGCTTGCTTTGTGCTTTGAGGGAATCTAAGTGATGGGAGTTAGACATTAGGTGAATACATCACGTCACATGTGATTAGGATTGAATAATCTCAGAGTGCTGGATTTGGCCCTATTGCGCAACTCTTGTCTGAGTCCAACTGAGGTAGGGACAAGTCTTTTACTTGAAGGATTATCCGAGCCTCATCACATGTGATGGTATTCAGGTGATGGCTATTTGGCATCACAAAGAGGCCTTCAACAACTGAGGACTGGTTTGAGTTGAGTCAAAGGTTTCCCTAGGGTAATCCTAGGATGAGATAGTGTTGGGAGCAGTTGTGGTAGAAAAAGGGACCTGGTGGAGTCGAAGCATTTCTTGAGGAAAGTACGGATAGATGTGAAAGGTAGTATGGGCCCGTACTACGGAAGGCATAGGATCCGTACTCGATTCGAGAAAGGCAGAGATAAGACCAGGAAACTGGTAGTGTGTATATGATCCCTCATTAGTGATGAGTATTCTAATAGTTATTGTGTTATGTTTTCAGCATGGTGACATTACGAGAGAGGCTAGTGGGCGGATCAGGCGCTGAAGAGGGATCAGGCTTGGGTTCAGGGGCCGAGCAGCTTGAGGAGCGGATGAGGGAGTTGATATCAGCGGAGGTTATGCACAATATCCTAGATCAAACTCCTGTGATCTTTGGCACGGTCAAGGAGGGTATACTGGAGATTTTGGATGAGAGGCTGGGAGCCTTCCATACAGAGATGATGGCTTTGATGGGAGCTCGTAGTTTGATATTCCGAGAGTTTAGGGCTTGCGGAGAGCCAAATTATCATGGGGCTAGGGACCCTATCGCTAGTAGCAGATGGTT